AAAGTAACGAGTTCTCTCATCTTTAGTGAACAGGGTGGCTATATCATTCAGTTTAGTAAGATATGCCACAACAGTTTCAGATTCATAACCATGAAAAGGATCAGATTCAACCAAAGTAATTATATCAGGATCAACAGAGAATTCATAATCCTTATCAGTAACAAAGATAGGTGAAGTAGCAAAAGCAGGGTCAGGTTTCATTCTATCATTTAGAGATTGCTTACTCAGTTCTATTTCTGCAAGCTAAAATAGCTAAAGAAGCATCTTGATCAAAAACATAACCCTTGGGAATGGCAAGTGGTTCTTCATCATCACTCTCATCAGTATCATCAGATTCAATATTTTCAATTTCTCTAGCCCTAGCAAGTTGTTCATCAAGAAAATCACTAAGTGGCATAGTAGTATCAGGCATAGAGGTAGTTTCATCATAAGTATCATGCATAGCAGAAGTGGCATCATCAATAACATGCGACATATCAGAACGAATAGCAGAAGCAGGTGTAGGTGTCGCAAGCTTACTTAACACAGAAGGTGAATCAAGTGCAGAGCTAGATGGCAGTTCCTTACCTCCCCTCGTAGTTGAGGGATAGATCTTGGTTTTTGGATCTCTCAAGTTCTTCATAATGATAAGCAAATATATATCCCAAGTGACTCAAAGAATAGAGCTATGCTCCCCGGCAACGGCGCCAGAAAATAGTCTTGATAACCCACAAGTATAGGGGATCGCAACAGTTTTCGAGGGTAGAGTATTCAACCCAAATTTATTGATTCGGCACAAGGGGAGCCAAAGAATATTCTCAAGTATTAACAGCTGAGTTGTCAATTCAACCACAACTGGAAACTTAATATCTGCAGCAAAGTGTTTAGTAGCAAAGTAATATGATAGTGGTGATAACGGTAGCAAAAGGTAACAGTAGTAAAAGTAATGTTTTTGGTATTTTTAGTGATGATAGGCATGTATTCTGAATATAGTCATACGTGCTTATGGAAAAGAACTTGCATGACATCTTTTGTCCTACCCTCCCGTGGCAGCGGGGTCCTTACGGAAACTAAGGGATATTAAGGCCTCCTTTTAATAGAGAACCGGAACAAAGCATCAACACATAGTGAATACATGAACTCCTCAAACTACGGTCATCACCGGTAAGTATCCCTATTATTGTCACTTCGGGGTTAACGGATCATAACACATAATAGGTGACTATAGACTTGTAAGATAGGATCAAGAACACTCATATATTGATGAAAACATAATAGGTTCAGATCTGAAATCATGGCACTCGGGCCCTAGTGACAAGCATTAAGCATAGCAAAGTCATATCAACATCAATCTCAGAACATAGTGGACACTAGGGATCAAACCCTAACAAAACTAACTCGATAACATGATAGATCCCATCCAACCCATCACCGTCCAGCAAGCCTACGATGGAATTACTCACGCGCGGCGGTGAGCATCATGAAATTGGTGATGGAGGATGGTTGATGATGATGATGGCGACGGATTCCCCTCTCTGGAGCCCCGAACGGACTCCAGATCAGCCCTCCCGAGAGGTTTTAGGGCTTGGCGGCGGCTCCGTATCATAAAACGCGATGATTTCTTCTCTCTGATTTTTTTTCTCCCTGAAACTCAATATATGGAGGTGGAGTTGGAGTCGGAGAGGCAACAGGGGGCCCATGAGGTAGGGGGCGCGCCCTAGGGGGGCAGGCGCGCCCCCACCCTCGTGGCAAGGTGGTGGCCCCCCTGGACTTCATCTTTGGCAGGTATTTTTCTTATTTTCTGAAAAGTGTCTCCGTGAAATTTTAGGTCATTCCGAGAATGTTTGCTCCTGCGCATAAATAACATCATGGTAATTCTGCTGAAAACAGCGTCAGTCCGGGTTAGTTCCATTCAAATCATGCAAGTTAGAGTCCAAAATAAGGGCAAAAGTATTTGGAAAAGTAGATACGTTGGAGACGTATCAGTGACGCGCGATTTATCGTCATGGAAGTGGACACTTCCGTGATGATAATTTTGGTAATGTCATGGAACACTTGTACGACAGCACATGTATGACTATCTTGATTCTGTCATAAAATCGTCATGGATGTACATGCATGACAAAAAAGGCGACCTACTGTGACAAACACGTATCATCACAGAAGTGTATTTTTTTTGTAGTGTCAACACCCTTAGAGCCGATGAAAAAACCCAAGAAAACAAACTTATCAACACCAAAAGTGCATTTTCCCATGTTCACATAAAGTCGCTCATTTCTAAGAATTTGCAATACTTTTCTAAGCTGGGTGATATGATCTTCAAGAGATTGACTAAAGACAAGTATATCTAAAAGTATATCACAACACAAATGCCAATGAGTTTCCGAAGAACATAGTGCATGACCCTCATAAAAGTGCAGGCGCTTGAGATAATCCCATAGGCATGACCAATCATTCATATAGACCAATTTTTGTTTGTACGCCGTTTTCCATTCATCACCTTCTTGCATGCGAATTTGATAGTAGCCACTTTTAAGGTCAATTTTTAGAAAATGGTGGCTCCACTAAGTTCACCTAGCATGTCACCTAGGCGTGGACTTAGGGTGACGATAACGAACGGTGATAACATTAATGGGATGTCAGTCAAAACACGTGCGATAACTACCATCTTTCTTGGGCACAAGTATGACCGGAACGGCACATGGACTTAAACTCTCGCACACATACCTGTTTTCCATGAGGTGTTGCACTAGCCATTGAATCTCTTTGGTCTCGTCGGGGTTGACGCGATAAGGTGCCTTGTTCGGGAGGGGTGCACCGGGAATGAGGTCGATGTGGTGTTCAATTCCGCGCAAAGGAGGTAGGCCCAGAGGTAGCTTGTTGGGGAACACATGCGCGAATTCCTGCAATAGATGAGACAAAACCAAAGGAAGATGTTCTGAAGTATTAGTCCGCACCACATCATCTTTCATGCAAATACAAAGTGAAGAACACTCGATGGGTGCTACTTGTGAGGTACGTTGAGATTTTCCCCGAAGAGGAAAGGTGAAGTAATATAGTAGCTGGTAAGTATTTTCCTCATTGAGAACCAAGGTTTATCGAACCAAAAGGAGAACCACGTAAATCCTAGTGAACAGCACCTGCACACACAAGAGCAAATACTTGCACCCAACGTGGACAAGAGGGTTGATAATCCCCTTGAACTTGTTACTTGCAAGGATCAAATCTGGTAGTGATAGATAGTAAATTGTAAAACAAAAGAAAATTAAATAAATTGCAGCAAGGTATTTTTGGTTTTAGTAATATGATAAAGATAGGCCCGGCGTCATAGTTTTCACTAGATGCTTCTCTCTCAAATAAATAACATACAATGGGTAGACAAATTACACATTACACATTCACAAAAAATGTGCCGCCTCTCCTTGTCATAACTCATGGGAGAGATGAGGCCACGAGAGGAACAGAAGGCGCCGACGTCACTACTCGCTATGGAAAGTAGGGTACTGGACATCGAGGATGGGGCTTTGGGGAAGTTTGGCTAGGTGATTGGGTGAGATGGTGTGATGAGTTGATTTGGACCGAGCTTAACGAGTTAAATGAACGCTCGTTGAATTTGTTATGTAAGCCATCTCATATTAGAGCTCAGTTCTTACTCGTTAGCCATCGAAGCTACTTGTTTAACTCATGAATTTCAAGTTTTAATTCTAGCTCTACCCTATCCTAACCATTAATGATGAAGATTTTCTTCCTTGGATCTATACCACTTTTCATTTTGACCGTGTGACCGACAACTCCATCTCATAATTCACTAGTGCTTGAGGTTGGGTTCAACTATGTATTCTAAGAAAAGGAGTCATCACGTGCTACCAGGGATGGAGCCAGGAACCATTGAAGGGGGGGAGGGCAAACACTAATTTGAAGGGCGTATATGCAATTTTTTCAGGAAATTTGAGGGGTATATTAGCAAAATTTTCAACCATGGTGTGGCCCCCTCGCGCTTGGATTTGTCGTTGTGTGCTATAAAAAATGCCAAAAAAAGGGCCGCAATATCTACAAACATTCCCTAGAAGAATTTCCTAACGAATGCTAAAATTGACATGCAATTTGAGGAGAAGTCGCTATGATTAAAAGTAAAAAATTGCCGTGTATCTAAAAAAAGCAAGCGATCTTTTTTCTTTTTGCTATCCACGTGATCTGAATCCAATGCTTGTGGGGGCGTTTTCTAGAACCTCCTAACAAGAGAACACTCCTCAGTCATCGTTTTCCAAAAATAGTGTTGGAGATGCTTAGTTAGATACCAAAAGTTGGCTCGCCAACATTTCAACATGCGAGTGTTTAAAATTTGTCAGAATTTTTCTAATATTTTAAGAGGCTGACATAATAATTTGGTAACTAAATTGTTGGCTTTGCCCGAAACAATGGCAAAGCCAAAATTGATGTCAACC